AGTTGAGGCAGAGAGAAAATTCTGGACAGCCCACTCTTATAAGTATACAAAATTTAACTTCCCTGGAAATCTTCAAGATTGACATGTTGAGCTACCTACAGAATTGAAATAAAAGATTTTCTGGGTTGTATTTTTCTTTTTCTTTTTTTTCCCAAAGTTTTAAATAAGAACTTTGTGACATATAATTCACATACCATAAAACTCACCCCCTTTAAAGTGTGTGATTGAGTGATTTTATTAGATTCACAAAGTTATGCAAACATCACCATTATTTTATTCCACATTTTTACTATTCCTGAAAGAAATCTCATATCCATTAGTACTTATTTCCATTTCTCTTTCCTTCCAGTCTCTGACAAGCAGGACATTTCATATAAGTGAGGTTGTATAATATGTTGCCCTTTGTAACTGGCTTCACTTTCTGAACATGATGTTTTCAAGGTTGATCCATGCTTTAACCTTTCATTTATTCTATTTTACAAATATACCATGTTTCATTTATCTATTCATTAGCTAATGGACTTTTGAATTTTTCCCATTTTTGCCTATAGTGAATTATAACACTATGGGCATTCTTATATGTTTTGACATGTATTTTAACTTATCTTAGGTATATACACCTAGGAGTGGAATTGTTGGGTCATATTGTAACTTTGTTTCCAATGTGGCTGCACCATCTTACATTCTCACAACCAATGTTGAGGCAGTGGTCCAATTTTTCCAAATCCTTACCAACACCTGTTATTATACACAATTAATGATTGTAGCCATCCCTGTGGATACAAAGTAATACTTTGTTGTCATTGTTGTTTTACTAATAGACTTTATTTTTTCAGAGCAATTTAAAGAAAAAAATGTGCAAAATACAGTTCCAATAGATTCCCTTTCCTCTACTCTTATACATAATTTTTATCATTAACATCTTACATTAGTGCAGTACATTTAATGAACCAATATTGATGCATTATTAAAGTTCATAGTTTACATTGTATTTTATCCTTTAAGTTGTACTGTTTTATAAATGCATGATTTTCCTGTATTTTCCATTAAGGTATCAGGACAGAATTGTTTCACTGCCTCCCCAAACTCCTGTGCTCCCCATTCATTTATTCCTCCCTCTCTCCTTCCAAACCCTGGAAACCATGGATGTTTTTATAGTCTCAATAATTTTGTGTTCTTCCCGAATGTTTTATAGTTGGCATTTTATAGTGTGTGATCCCTTCAGAATGATTTTTTTTTCTTTAAACAATATGCATTTAAGATTCCTTCAAATCTTTTCTCAGATTGATAATCTTCCCCTCTCTCTTGTGGTACTAGGGGTCAAACCTAGGGTCTCATGCATGCTGGGCAAGCACTCTACCATTAAGTTATAGTGTTTCTTTTTATTACTAAATAATATTCTGATTGAAGGATAATGGATGTACATCTGATCATCCATTTACCTGTTGAACATCCTTAGTTGTTTCCACATTTGGGCAATTATGAATAAATCTGCTATAAATATTCATGTGCATATTTTTGTGGGACATAAAATTTCAAATCATTTGGGTGACCATCTAGGAGCACAATGGCTGGATCACAGGATAATACTATGTTAATTTTGCAAGAAACTGATACACTTGTGTTGTAAAATGGCTATACAGTTTGCAATGCTGCTTGCCATTAGTGAAGTTCCTGTTGCTCTTCATCCAGCAACAGGATGGTGTTGCTAGTGTTTGGGATTTTAGCCATTCTAATAGAAGTGGAGTAGTATCTCATGTTTTAATTTACAATTCCCTCATTGCATGATGTTATTTCTTTAATGTTTAAGTAATGTTTTATTGATATAATTCACATAATATGTAATTAGTCTATTTAATGTATACAGATAATGATTTTTAGTATATTCATAGTTATGTCAGACACAACATTCAATTTTAGAACATTTTTATCACTCCCAGAAGAAATCCCATACCGATTACAATCACTTCACCTACTAACTCACCTCTCCCGCTCTCAGTGAGCCCTAGGTAACTACTAATATTTTTATCTCTATAAATGTTCTTATTATGGACAGTGCATATAAATGGAATCCTGTAACACTGTAGTCTTGTTGATTGGCTTCCTTCCTTTTTTGTTGATATAATTCACCTAATTGCAAGGTTCATTAATGTTGTAAGTGAAAGTTATTCCTTTTCTTTTTTGCAGTGCTGGGATTCATATGGTTATTTTCCATGTGTATACCTTCATAGGGGAGATGCCCGTTCAGGTAAATCTTTGCCTTTACTTTAATTAGGTTGCTTGTTTTCATATTGTTGAGTTTTAAGGTGTTCTCTACATTTTGCATAAAAAGTCCTTTATCAGATATGTATTTTGAAAATATTTTCTCCCACTCTATGACTAGTCTTTTCATTCTCTTAATAGTGTCTTGACTCACAGCATGGACGTTTTTAATTTTGTTGTAGTCCATTATATTTACTTTTTTTATCAATAAACATGCTATCAGTGTTACATCTTAAAAAAAAGGTTGCTTAGATTTTATGTTATCTTGTAAACGTTTTTTGCATTTTACATTTAGGTTACAGGCATTTTGAGTTAATTTTTGAAAAGGTCTATGTCTAGGCTTATTATTTTGATGTGGATATTCAATTGTTCCACTACCATTTGTTGAAAATATTACAGCTCCTCCACTGAATTGCCTTTGTTCCTTTGTCAAAGATCCATTAATTTTATTCATGTGAGTCTATTTCTGAGCTCCCTATTCTGTCCCCCAATCTGTCTTTTCTCTCACCAGTACACACTGTCTTTATTACTGTAGCTTTGTAGTAAGCTTTCAAGTTGACCTCTGCCAGTTCTCTGACTTGGTTCAATATTGAGTTGGCTATCCTGGGTCTTTAGCCTTTCCAGATAAACTTTAGAAGCTTATTTTATAGCCACAATTAACCTGCTGGGATTTTGATCAGGACTATGCTTGAAACTACAAATTAGGAAAAAGTGACATCTTCATAATATTGAGTCTTCCTAATCATAACATGCAGTATCTCCAGTATCTCTCCATTTATTTAGCTTTTCTTTGACTTCTTTCTTCAGCATTTTGTAGTTTTTCTCACACAGACCTTGAACATATTTTGTTTATTTATACCTCATTTTTTTTCACTTTTTTAGTGCTGATATAAAGAGTGTTTTGCTTTTACTTCAAATTCCAATTGTTCATTTCTGGCATAGAGGGAAAACAATTGACTTTTTAAATATTAATCTTGTACTACAGCCTTGCTAATCATTAATTAATTCTATGAGTTATTTGTTGTTGTTGTTGTTAGAAGCTCATTAATTTTTTGTATATTTTTAAAACAATAAGGATGGGAAGAAAAATCCATTTAAACAAAAAGAAAACTGAAAAATGAACCCAGCTGTGCTGCAAGGAGGGCAAGAAGAACCCTCACCTCACCTAAATCCTGAATGTGTCTGTGACAATACTCTTAAGTTGAATAACAGGAAAAAACAGCAAATGTATCCTGCTTTCTTTTTTTTTTTTTTTTTTTTGTACTGCATATTTAACCCAAGGGTGCCTAACCACTGAGCAACATCCCCAGCCCTTATTATTTTTTTTGAGGCAGGGTCTTCTAAATTGCTTAGGGTCTCTCTTAAGTTGCTGAGGCTGGCCTTGAACTTGCAATCCACCTGCCTCAGCCTCCTGAATCACTGGGATTACAGATGTGCATCACTGCACAGGCCCTGTCTTCTTTTTAGTCGGCTTGTTTTTGATAGATGTATGAGTGAAACAATATAAAATTTGTTAGATAATTTAACAAATATGTTGACATTGTTGGGAACCAGGGTACATACCGTGGAAGAGGCCAGATAAAGATGGAATGTATCAACGGTAAAAAGGACCCTATTGGGAATGTTTTGGAATTAAAAATAACAATATGTACTCATTTTTGTCAAATGGTAAAACTGGAATAATTCGAGTATCAGCATAATTAAGGATGATAATAAATTATAAACCATTGAAAAATAAGATTCCTTTGGTCATAAAAGACCAAGTGCATCTATTCTGATAGAAGTAATATGATACAAAAGACACTACTACTAGGTCATTTGACAAAACTGAGTACATATTTATCAAAACAAATACAGAGGTTAGATTAAAGTATTGTGTCATTGTTAAATCCTCCAAAATTACTAACAGTCCTGTGGTTATTTAATGAAATTTTATTTTTTTAAATATACTCTGAATTATTTAGAGACAATGGGGCATATGTTCAACTTAATCTATAATGATTCAGAAAGCAAGCTCTATATATTACTTATCTGTGCACTGTCTGTGTGTGTGTGTGTGTGTGTACACTACTCAGTGTGCACAAGATAAAGCAAATAGTGCTAAAGGTAGCAGCAGGTGAATCTGGGTTAAGGATGTACAGAGTTTTGTTATACCATTCTTGCAACTTTTCTTAAAACTTGAAATTCTTCTAATTAAATGATTTTTTAAAGGTTGGTGTTCAACGTGAACAAAAATTTAGGAGTAAGAGCAAACTTGAAAGCAAAAGGTCTGATAATGCCACATATTTTGAAGGACTGCCATGTGGAAGGAGGATTAGGACTTTGAATTTGACTAATCTTATTTCAGGTCAACCTGCTTTGTGTAATATCATTATAGCACATCCAAGTGCTCATGGCTGAAATGACAGGTAGGAATTCTTTAAGTTTTATGTAGTCTTCAGGACCATTCAGTACAAGAGGTACAAAAATCACAGGATTCTGAGGGTACATTATATAAGATAAACAGAAGGGGACTAGGTGTAGAAAAATGGGAAATGGTGGCGTATGCGAGTAATGCTTTTGCTGATGTCATTCAAATGTAATTAAAGACAATGCTACAATATTGTGTTATAATCCAGTGCTGTGTCTGGTCTAGGAGAGGCCAGCTGTGACCACATAGTGTCACTTAATCTTTCTTTCCGGTAAGGAAAAAGGTACCAAAAGTTACAGTGTGTAAGATAATGAGAGATGTAAATGTGTGCATATATATCAAAACCACACCACTTTTAATGAAAGAAACTGATATCCACACATTTGTACTTCTGTACAATTTGGGGTAATATATAATTTTAAGCTGTTTACAAATAACATGTACTGCTTCAAATATTACATAAGGTTGATAATACATTTCTAGCAGAAATAAATATATTGCACTTAAAAAGAACTTCATTAGATGTTACTTCATAGTATTATGCGTATAATTTCCTTTTTTCCATAGAACATTTCCCAAGCCCTTCCCTCCCACCCTGAACACACACACTTCATTACAGTGATGGTTCTCACACAGTTCAGTAAGCAAACGAAGACACAGCAAACCATGAAACTGTGATAGTTTAAAGAGGCATATCTAATTTCACCCTTTAGGAAATAAAAGAACTTCTTTTAGGTTTTGGAAATTAAAAAAAAAAAACAAAAACTAAATACAGTATGTTAATGTACCAGAAGTAAAATACAACAAATTGTATTTTTTGTCCAGATATACTATTTCACAAAAATGTTATTTACTTATTACTTGAAACAATGAAAAGTTATTACCTTCTACTTTGTTTAGAGGGGAGAGGGGATTGAAATTATTTGAGAGAGAAACAGAAAGAAGGCTGGAAAATATTTTTGGATTACTTGCCCATCAAATATTTATAAATGAACTTTTCTATATTTAAGCATGCTGAAGAAAAATAAGAACTAGGATATTTTATAAATGGAATGGATGAGAAAGTAATGAAGGAAGAGTTTTATGATTTTCTAAAGTTTAAAGAGTCTGTAACATTTGCTTGTTTACAGAAAAAAAAAGAATACTTTAATTATAACATAATATAAAAATTTATACAAAACTCCTCTCAGGCACCACTAGCTAGAGGAGAAAGTTGAAAATATTCTGTCTAGATTTAGGCTAGAGCATCTTCTTGTCTTAATAATTATCAATTCTCTATCCATTTCATAATGAAAACAATTTTACTCACTTAAGTCAGTGGAAGATAGAATAAAGTGTTCGTTTTCTTGTGATGTTTCCCTGTATATTGCATAACTGAATTTCTGGAGCTTTAGTTACTAAGTCATGATTAACTTGTCTGTATATTTAATGGGGTATAAAGTCATTCCATCCACTTAATTTGAAGGTGCTCATTCTCAGTACAATCGGGCTTTATATAAACAAGATGGTGTGAAAAGCTAATGTGAAACATAGAAATGGGATAAATATCCTGACATCTTTCTGAAAAATTCATAAGCAGTATGAGATGAAGATACTTCACATTTATTTACTGGGCTTTTAGAGGGTTTCCTTTTCCTTTTTGTTTAGGAGATGGTTGTGGCTAAAGAAACAAAATGACAGAAGTGTGGATAAAGGTGGAAGAGGAGAGATCTTGGAATGCCCCAGAAGTCACTGTATCTCCTGCAGCTTAGCCCTACACAAGGGTGCTTGCTAGATAATAAGGCATTATCAGGAAGCTTCATAATATCATCCACTCAGTGCCCAACTATCAGAAATGGTGATAGGTCCTCCTGGAAAGATACCATTGGTATAAACTCAAAGTGACCAGCAATGCAATACAAAATTGTTAATCGAGACCTGTTACCTAAAAATTTGTGATATGTTAGACACAGGATGGATATATTTATTGCTTGTACTGCTAAAGGTAGGCAGAGGAGGGAAGAGATTTACTAAATAAGTAGAAAGAATAACTGAACTTAAAATTATTGACAATTGTTTTAAAAATAAATCTCAAATGCAGAGCCTACTAAGTTATAAACGGATTTGATTCCTTACAGTTCCACCAATCTGGTCTGACAGGCAGGAACTCTTTTTAGCAGCACTGCACATTAGCTGTGCTTTTTAATACTATAATATACTTAGAGGGAAAAACAAGAATTTATTACAAATGTAACTCCTGGTTGTTATCATTTGGTTGGCTTTCCCATTAAATATATAGTTCTTGCAATCACCTTAGGTAGAATAGATTTGGAATTTTAAATACTAAGCTCCCCAGGGTCAATAAGAATTGACAACCAGAATAATTTGGAATGACACAGGTGGGGTTAATGTCTACCTCTTGGTTCCCATGACTAGAGTGACTGATTTGCTTGCACTCTCTTTCTCTTGTGCTTTTTCTCTCTAGTTCAGGTAATACCACTGTTAAAAATATATCCCATGTAGAATTTCAGGGATCATTTTTCCAGAGCATGCTTTGCTTTTCTTTAAGCACTCTACCCTAGTTTTAACCTCATATTGCTTAATTACAAAACAAAGTTATGAGTTAGGAAATAATGGTATACAACTACATTTCACAAAAAAACACATAAGCCTACTTGGTATTGGGAGAATTTTCAAATAGTAAATAATCCTCTAATTCTCTTTGAAAAGGAAATTTAGACACAGATTCACTTAAGCAGACCAGTAATTGAGTGGCATCATTGTGTAAAATAGCATCTTTTGTTATTCCTGCTTTAGGCAATAGCACTCTGTATTCAAAGGAATACTGGCAATAGGCCAACTATTAAATATTAAGCCCCTATCTAAACATTAGTCATAACTGCTCTGTTTAAAGAAGTACACATCTGTACTCTGAAAGTAAACTACCTAAGGATGCTACAGCATAACATGCAAGAAGTTAGAAATTAACCTACAGGATATGCCATAGGGCTTTGAAATGCTTTGTTAACAAAGTCCGTGCTCCTTTGTAAGTAGTCTTTAGGATTCAGTGAAAAATGGCAAGTGTAAAATCCAAAATTGGCATCTCATGGTCAGACTGAGTCAAGATGCCTTGTTTCATGGGCTGAACATGTCCAAGAAAGGCATTTGATGTGTAGAAGTCTAACGTTAAACAACCAAATAAAATCTACGGAAGTCTGATGTGATAAGTATATTGCATTTACCCCCCCAAATACACTTCTACTGTCAGTAACAATATTTCCCATCTCTCATAACAGATTCAATACTTTTGCAGTAAGAACAGAATAGAATGAAAATTACATATAGATATTAAATTAGAGTTTTGGGGAAATTGGCTAAGAAGACAGTTTACATCCTGTAGCTGGAATGCATTATACCTTGAGTTGAAAGACTATTAACTTCATTAAATCTTTATTATTAGGAAAATGAACTGTTGCTAAATACCAAATGTGGTTACCCAGACTGTAAATGCTAAGATATATGATGCTCAAAAATAATATGGATTATATAGAATTAAAATATAACTAATTACTATTATACACATTAAAGAAAGGCTTAAGAAGATAGCGAAAGTTGAAAATAAAATGGATGAGGCTCTAATGGATTTATAAGAACTGCCAATGTTTCAGTCAGCAAGTTAATATGCAATTTCATATTAGGGAGTGAGAAAATGGTAAGAGTCTCCAAATGTAACACAGTAAGGAAAAAAGATAAGTCAGATACATGGGCACATTACTACACATGAGCACACTAAATCATGGCTACCCAAGCATTTAGAATGGTCATTCTTAAACCCTGTCAATCAGTGGCAGCAGCAACAAAGCAGATTTATCAAAAATAAGAATATGGGCCCAATGCATTTTAACATCCATAAAGTCTCCCAAAAGCTGAAGTGAAAATGAAGGGGCCTTTGGCTCACTTGGTAGAAAAATTCGTTTCAGAACAGAACAACCATCTTTTTATTTAAGCTGTAAGTGAAATAAAGCCTCACATATCATCTTGCATAGGCTTTGGAGGGTTCCTCAGTGGTAAGTCAGTAGTGTATTTAGAATGCAGCCCAGAAAAAAAATCAGTCCTTAATCTAGAGAGGCCCTTGCTTCAAAACCAACAAGTTGTTGTAAGAAAGAGAATTAGAAAGAAAGAAGACTAAAGACTGAGCTTGTCAAGTACTGGCCCTTCAATATTGCAAAAAGAGCTTTGTGAAGGCTTACTACACATATTCATCCACACAACAGGATGCATTAGCATTATCTCATCTCCTTCCCCAGCAAACTAAATACAAAAAACTAAACATGCTTAAGCTATAGCACTACAGATATTTCTCTATTGGCTCCCACTTTCTACAGGGAGAAACTGACTTAAGTTAGTCATATGGTCAGTATGCTATATAGTATTGCCTCTTTGAAGATTCTTTTAACTGTGGAAAGCAGAAAGAAAACCTATACACACTGATTTTATACAGTACTGCATTGACACAGCATTTTTAACTAAGGAGTAAAGCACCTTAACATTCATCTGCCTTATATTATTAAGCTTTCTGGGTAAATTAATATCCTATTAGTTGCAAGATTTAGGCTGGCTAAGAACTTTATGTTGATTCTCCCCTGAACCTAAGACAGGTTCCCAACTTAAGTTCTCTAAGAGATGTTCTCCCAACTACAGATGAATCCTGGTCCGTGGTGCATTCCCTTAGCATTAGATTTTATTGTGAGTCCAGCTCTCCTCTTTAATAGGTCCCATGTATCCTGGAGAGCCCCTGCTCCAATACCCGCTATCCCGCCCACCCAACCCTGCCTATATTTCCATACCCATTTGCACATTCTGGATCTAAATTCTCCCCTTTTTAGAAGAGTCATACAAATGGTGTCATCACAGCAGAGGAGTGGCGTAGTCCCTGGATGGCAGCATAGGGCCCCTGCTGAAAGTAGTGATGGTACCGTGGCATGTGGAATGAAGGGAACGTTGGACCACTCCCTTGCATGGAGCTCGCAATGGCTGATGGGGTCAGAGGCATCCCCAGCCGACTATATGGTGGCAGAGAACCCTGTATGGGGTGAGGAATGGGTGTTGCTATGGATGCTGTGCTGGTGCCAAGAGCAGTCAGAGACTGTGGGTGCTGAAATCCAGGAAAACTGGAAGATGATGATACCCAGGAGCTGAGAGATAAATTGTCAGATGTTGTAAAGGCTGACCCTATGAGGAAAAAAAAAAACACTCATTAGACTGGAATGGCATTATCTGTAAAGTTCTATTTATTTTCAAAAATATTTAATAGATCTATGATTTGAAAAGACAACTGCACATGAGATTTGTCATGGGCCAAATCTACCTTTTTAGATACGAAGATATTATTTAAATCCTGCATGGAAGAAAGAATTTACCAACTGAAAAAAGACTTAACTCACTAAATGGCCTGCATATTCCTACAGAATGACCAAAACACTAATAGCTTGTCTGAAGGTGATGAACTGATTCCCTGGGGCTCCAAATATCTGTGTTCTAACTTTTGCAGGATCTCCATAAAAAAGACTCCTTATGGATGTCTCAGTCTCAACAAAGCTATATAACTTCCAAAGCCACTTATGAGAATCCAAAAGAATAAGTTGTCCTATATTGCAGCACCTAAAAGTTTAAACAAGAATTGACATTAAATTTTCTGGCTATATTAGCAGTTTGCATGGTTAAGTAATAAGAAATACTCTATATTTTCTCTGGTGATGTCATCTATAGTATGGACAAAAAATAATGACAGAGGTTCCCTCCCCATACAAATGCTCCAGTTCCCGGGATAGAGCACCTCTGGCCTCATCTCAGGACTTCCTTCCCCAAGTGTAGGGGCTCCTCCCTAAAACAGGGAAACTCAGCTTATTCTTCCTCTCACCACTGGGGTCACCACTTTTATGTGATGCCCTTCACAGGACAATCCTCTTTTAAAAGTGTTTTCCACTTCTATCTTTGATCCTAAAAAGACATACCTAATGTACGCAGAACAGATATATTCCTTCATTTTCAGATTATATAGCTGAAGTTCAGAAAGACTAATAAACTGCCCCCAAGGTTCAACAGCTCTTTGGTACTAAATTGCAGACAAGTACCTCCTGACCCCTAAGTCAAAGGCTCAGTGTCCTTTTACTAGAAAACAGTAACTCAGTGTAATCACTTAGAACTTGGACAATAATACATGTGGAAATCATAAGATCTTAAGGGGCTGTCCCCTCCTGAGAAGGCCCTGAAATCCTTTCCTGACAGTGTTACCTTGGGGACAGGCCGTCTCATCAAGTACCTACCTTTGTTCTCCTTTAGGAACTCTAGCTCCCACTGGCTCCACAACCCCCAAAGCTATCTTACCTCGATTTTGGGTTGTCTGAGTCTCATCCCCCAGGACATCCTCTTCTCCTCCATAGGTACGGATGGGTGAGCGGGCATAGGAATGCTTCTGGATCAGGCTCTCCACACTTTCCCTAGGTTACAAAGTAATATGTAATGAGTTCACTACAAAGTTAAGAACTCAGAGATACAAGGGGGTCTTAAGGATAATTCACTAGTCAGGAAATCTGTTTTCTCAGCCAAAAGGAAACCACTTCAGGGAAAGAACATGTGAAACGTGTGCATTTATTCTGTTGTAGAGTGACTCCTCAGACATAAACTCAAGTCCATAAATGCAAGCACATATACCTATAGGATGAGAGCAATCTCTTGAAACCCTATAAGATGAAGGATAAAGAGGTGAACAAGGAACCATGATACCTGACTACAGGAATATGGAATTTAATGATATGAAAAATTTTGTGACAGAAGAGAATCTGTGGAGCATTTTCTAATGATTTCACTGACAATGAATACAAAATACTCAAATGATCCAAACGGCACTGATTCAACATCTGACAAAATGTTGCCAAAAAATCCAAAATAATTGATCATAAAAAAGACTTATTGTTCACTAACAGATCAAACAATCAATGATAGTACATGACAATATGGATAGTTTGATTAATGCACACTTTGAGCTCCTTACTGATTTAAGACTGAAAATTACAGAAAAACTATGAAGGAGACATAAATGGCAGTAAGACATTTAAGCCCCCAGAAAAACTGGTACATTGTCTTTGTAAATTATCTTCCTCTTGCACCACAGTCTGTGAATCAAAGAATGAGGTTAACTTTAAAAACAAAAATTATTTTGGTACTGGACAATTGACCTGCTATTAAAAAAAACTATCAAGATTTTAGCCAAGTTAAATGAATACTAATAGCACATCAGTTTGCACAGCATATATTTTAGGTATATCTGTGAACTACAGATCAACACTAAATTAACCACCAAATAACCAAAAGAGGATTTAAAATTTTATGTTGGTAGTAAATTTCATATTGGAGGAATAAGAAAAATGAATAAATGTCATACTAACTTTTCAAAATGTAACCCTTATGATTTCACATAGATATACATACTTTACCTGTGGGAAAAATACTATCTAATTCATAGTGCATTTGGTGTTCTAGAAAGCTCATATATGTGCACAGATGAAAAAGGTAGTCTTCTCAACTAGAATAGGGGATGAGTCTACTTCTTAATCCTCCATTCTGTTCTTTTGATCTGTGCGTGATCTTGATAGCAAAACCACACTGTCCTGATTACTATAGCTCAAATAAAGTCTTGAAATTAGCTAGTATTTTTTTCAAAGTTGTTTTTGTTATTCTATTCCCTTTGTATTATAATGTGAATTTCAGTATTATACTTTATTCATTTCTTTTAAAAAGCCTACTGGGATTTTGATCAGAATTGTGTTGAATCTGTAGAACAGTTTGTGAAGAACTGACATATTAAGTCTTTCAACCTATGCACCAATATGTCCTTTCTTTTATTTAAGTCTTCTTTAGTTTCTCTCAGCAGTGCTTTGTTTTTTGTTTTGTTTTGGTACCAGAGATTGAACCCAGAGGCACTTAACCACTGAGCCACATTGACAACCTTTTTTTTTGTATTTTATTTACAGACAGGGTCTCACTAAATTGCTTAGGGCCTCAGTAAGTTGTTGATTCCAGCTTTGAACTTGCAATCCTCCTGCTGATGCCTCCCAAGCCACTGGGATTACAGGCGTGTGCTACCCTACTCAGCCGGCAGTGTTTTGTAGTTTTAAATATGTCTTGCATGTCTGTTGCCAGATTTATCCCTAAACATGTTTTAGTAAATATTGCTTTTTATTTTGATTTCTAATTGTTCACTGCTAATAGATATGTTATTTTTTTGTATGTTGATCCTGTACCCTGTGACGTTACTAAACACACCTATTTACTCGAGTAGCTTTTATATAGGTTTTCATTTTCTATATAAATAACAGATAAAAAAAATTTCTGTGAACAGAGATAATTTTGCTTGTTTATTTTCCAATCATGATGAATTTTATTTAATTTTCCTGGCTTATTGCAATAGCTAAAAGTGCCCATACAAATTTGAACTCACAGTGGTAAGAGTAGACATCCATGATTTTTCCTTATTTTGAACAAAATCATTTAATCTTTGACCACTAGGTATAATATTAGCCCTCAGTGTTTTGTATATGCCTGTATCAGACTGAAAAGGTTCCCTAGTTTAATAAATTTTTACCAGGAAGATGTTGACTTTTCTTAAATGTTTTTGTATGTCTACTGAAATGATCAAATGCTTTTTCTTTTTTAGTTTGTTAATATGGTAAATTATATATTGGTTGGACTTCATATGTTAAACTAACCCAACATTCCTGAACTAACCCCTAGTCAGTCCTGATATATTATCTTTTTGTTGGACTCAATTGCCTACAATTCAGTTTAGAATTTTTCCATAATATTTATAAAGGATATTGGGCTGTAGTTTTTCATTTTGTGTTATCTTTCTTTAGTTTTAGCATTAAGGTTATTATACTGGTCTCACAGAATTAGTTTTAAAATATTCCCTTTTCTCCAATTTTCTAGAATAGCTTACGTAAAATTGTTATTATTTCTTCCTTAAATGTTTGGTGCAATTTACCAGTAAAGTCATTGCACCTGCAATTTTTTTTTTAATGGAATGTTTTTTTTTTTTTTTTTTTTTTTTTAGAGAGAGAGAGAGAGAGAGAGAGAGAGAGAGAGAGAGAGAGAGAATTTTTTTTAATTTTTTTTTTTTTTTTTTTTTTAGTTATTGGCAGACACAACATCTTTGTTTGTAATGTGGTGCTGAGGATCGAACCCAGGCTGCACGCATGCCAGGCGAGTGCGCTACCACTTGAGCCACATGCCCAGCCAATGGAATGGTTTTTAACTACAAATTCACAGCCATCAGATTGTCTACTTCTTCTTGAATAATATTTAGTAGTTTGTGCCTTCAAAAAAATTGTGCATTTTATTTAAATTGTGAAAATTATAAGAAGTGTTTATAATATGTTATAGAATATATTCTTTTATTATCATTCTGTTTAATATTTGAAGAATCTATGGTGATATTACTTCTCTCATTGATAATGGTAATTTGTGTTTTCCACCTCCCCACTTTTTTGGGGTCAGTTTGGCTGAAAGAATTGTCAATTTTATTAATCTCTCCATTTGGTTCCATTGATGCTCTTTGTTGTTCTCCTGTTTTCTATTCCATTGATTTCGACTCTAATATTTATTATTTACTTTCTTCCCCTGAACTTGGATCTCATGTGCTCTTTTTGTTTAGTTTCTTTTTTTAACATTTATTTTGTAAGTGTAGATGAACACAACACAATGCCTTTATTTTTATGTGGTGCTGAGGATCGAATCCAGGTCCCGCCTGTGCTAGGCAAGCGCTCTACCGCTGAGCCACAATCCCAGCCCCTTGTTTAGTTTCTTGAGATGAAAGATGAGGTAATTGATTTGAGATATTCTTTCAATACTAAAGAAGATAAAAATTTTCCCTAAATACTTTTTAGCAGTATCCCACTGCATATTTTAATTTTCCTTCAGTTCAAAATATTTTCTTATTTCCTTTTTGATATTTTCCTTGCCCTATGGGTTGTTTTCATTTTCTAAGTAAATAACAGTTTTAGTTTAACATAATTATATAATCTGTTATATAAATAACAGATTTAGTTAGCTATTTAGTTTCCAAATATGTATAGACTCTCCAGATGTCTTCCTGTCATTGATTTCTGATATAATTCATGTCTGTTGTGGTCAGAGAACATATTTTGTAAAAGTTACATGCATTTAAATATATTGAGACTTGTGATATAGAGTATGGTCTATCATGGAAAATTTGCAAAGAAGATATATTTGGCTGATGATGGAAGGAGTGTTTTCTAATGTAAACGGGGTCAATTTGGCTAATAATATTCAAATATTCTTCATTACTCATTTTATATCTACTTGGTCTACCCGATTATTTTGAGAGGAATATTGAAATTTTTAAGGATGACTGTATATTTGTCTCTTTGTCCTTATAGTTCTGCCAAACATGAAGATTTATTATTAGGTGCATAACACCTTAGATTGCATGTCCTCCTGAGGAGTAGAGCCTTTTAATTAGTATGAAATGATCTACTTTGTCTCTAATAACCTTCTTTTCCCTGAAATCTACTTTGACATTAATATAGCCATTCTGGCTTTCTTTTGATTAGTGCTAACATGTTAGATCATTGTTTCTATTGTTAGAAATTGTTTAGAAATTGTTTCTATTGTTAGAAATTGTTTCTATTACTTTCAGTTTATGTCTTCATATGTAAAGTGTGTTCCTTGTAGGCAACATAAGTTTGGGCTCACTTTACTTTTTAATTCAAACAAAAATTGAGGTATTTAGTGAATTTATATTTAAAGTGATTTTTATGTGGTTACACTGAAATTTATTAGCTTCTTATATGTTTCCTATTTGTACATCTGCTCTTTATTGTCTTTTTCCTTTATTTTTCCTTCTTTATGGTTAAATTTTTATGATTCCATTTTGTTTCCTTCATTGGTTTATTAGTTACAACTTTCTTATGTTATGATAGTAGATGCCTTCACATTTGTAGTAAATATCTTTGTCACAATTTATGTTCAAGTTAATTATTATGTTTTCAAGTATGGTATAAGAATCTCACTGCCTTGTGCAGTGGTACACGCCTGTAATTCCAGTGGTTTGGGAGGCTGAGGCAGGAGGATCATGAGTTCAAAGCTAGCCTCAGTAACATCAAGGTGCCAGTGAGACCCTATCTCTAAATAAAATACAAAATAGGGCTGGGAATGTGCCTCAGTGGCTGAGTTCCCCTGAGTTCAATCCCTGGTACACGCCCCCCCCTCAAAAAAAAAAAAAAAAAACAATTTCACTAATCCCCAGCAATGTCCCACCCAAAAAAATCACAATAATATATTTTCATTTCTCCTTTCCAACCTTTGTGCCATTCCTGTCAAACATTTTGATTTACATAAATCCCACTCTGCATTATTATATTTGTTTAAATAGTTAATTATCTTTTTAAAAAAATTAAATAGAATGAAAATATTTGATCTC